AAATTATTAATGCCTGATAATGATTTTTTGCCTGATAAACGATTTTTTGCCTGATAAATGATTTTTTGCCTGATAACCAATTTTTTGCCTGATAACCGATTTATTATAGTCATCATTAATTATAAAAAATCACGGGATACCGGATAATTAAATTTATTTATATTATATAAACTTATTTAAATTTAAGAATTAATTGTAATAAAACTCATCTCATAGAATATGACATGTTAATTTTTAAGTTTAAAAAAATAAATCTTAAAATATTATTATAGAGTAAAAATAACAAATTTATATAAGTAATTATTAATCTTCTAATATAATTTTTTTGTTTTATCAAATTGTAGTTTATATTAATAATCATTAATAATTATAAAAAAAAATTTTAATTGCTCATTTAATTTTAAAATATATTTATATAAAAATACTTATTTTAATCTAATTGACAATAAAAATAAAATATCGAACTCATTTATAAATTTCTTGCATTAAGTTTTATATTAAAGTTAATAAGAAAAATAAATACAAATTTGATCAAGTTATTTATTATACTATTTAACTAATCTCAATTATATGAATATAACTATCATAGTTTAATATATAAATAATAATAAATTTAGCTACTCAACTTGACCTAGCAATTAAATAATTCAGATTTAGTAATATCAGATTTATTTTATAATATTACAATTTTTATTCACTATTATTTCGATATATACACATTATATAATCACAATAAATAATTTCGTGCTGCGGCGCAGTAAATCTGATTTGAATTAGGGAACAATGGCCAAATAATCCGACACAAAACTTCACCATTTTTTACATGGTGTTTGTTTGAATTGGGGTAATTGTTGAGCGAAAATGTAAGATAGTTTTTTGGCCGGAATTTTTTTTTTATTATTCTAATTTACTCCGAAATTTAAAATTCAGTCATCGGAATCTTAAAATTAAAACTCAGATGTATTCTAAAAAAAGTTAGTTTTAAAGTTTTTTACGTACGCGTATTTTTCATGATAGTTTTTTTTTTTTTTTACGTGGCCATATAGTGATGTTCGTGTCGTGTGAGTAAATAACGCGATTTATAAATTATTTTTACGTTTTCGAGAAGTTGCGCTACCTAAATCTCTAACATAATTCTTTGCAAAATAAAGTTTATCACGACTCAATTTGGTATATAATAGTAATTGATTATTTCATATTTGGATAATTCCACGAGATATAAATACAATTTTTCAAAAATTGGTTGATCAAAAAAAAATTTTTTCTTTCTTCTTTCTCTTCGCTTTTTACTTTCAAGAGAGAGAGAAAAAAAAAACTTTGACGATAAAAATGACTAAAAGGTCCGGTACAGCGCGTGTTTCACCTGAAGAACGTATAATGTTAAATGTTAACGGGATAAAGGTAGTTTATATTTATACAGTATATAATTTTTTTGTTTATTTTATTTTATTTTTTTTTTTTTTACACGTGTTATAAAGTTAAGAAAAATTTTATTCTTTGTTTTACATAAGTATGAAACTTATCGATCAACATTAATTGCGTATCCCAATACTCTACTTGGGACCATGTTTCAAGAACGTAACCGTAATCTTCAACACCCGAATAAGGATGGGGAATACTTTTTTGACAGAAATGGGAAAGCCTTTCATTACGTGATGGAATTTTATCGTACGGGTCAAATTCTTTGGGATACTAAAACCGTACTTGGAATAAAAAATGGAACCAATGTGACCAAGAAGGAGCTCGAGGAGGAGCTTGATTATTTTCAGATCAAACCAAAAGATGTTAGAATCGAATCGGCATTGACCTCAGCTTCAAGCATAGTGGACAAATTCATTCAAGCTTTAGAATCCTTGATTTTAAAACATGTATCTCAATTAGGAAAAACGATCTTTATCAATGCAACTCAAGAAACGGTTTTAGTTAATCGCGTAAGATATGAACCGGAAATTGACCCTATCGTCCTAAGGGCATTTAACTTTACGGCTTATCGTATATTAAAAGAAGTTGGAAATGAAATTGCTCAATACTTATATTCAAGTTTTCCTGATTTGAATATCGTTTGGAAAAGCGAAAGAAGTGATACCGATCCAAAATGTATTATAGTTCAGCTCACCTTTAATTATAGTTTAAAAATGATATTTGAAAATTCACAAGTTGGAAGGAAGAGACCTAGGATCAATTAATCATTTACGGGCAAGAAGCATTAATCTTTTTTTTTGCCTAATCAATGTGATCTAAATTCCGAAAATTTTTAATTCTGGTCAGTTCCTTTATATAATAACTTTGTCCAATACTAAGACAATAAATAAATCCAAAAACAACATTAAAAAAATTACAAATATTATTTGGAGTGAAATTCAACATTTTTAAATTTATTTAATAATTTAATATTTAATTTTTTTTACTTAGATTTTTCAAATTTTCAATATATAAAATTATAAAATCATTAAAATCATCATTATCATGTATATATCCTATTTATATATACAAGTAATGTGAAATAATACAATTTTTTTTCTTTTTCTTTTTTTTTTTTTTTTTGGTATTTAAAGCACAGCTTTAAAAACCACAACTTAATTTTTTTTTTTTTTTTTGGTTTTTTTTAAAAAAATAAGGAATTATGATTAAAAAATTACAAAAATTTATATTACAGTATGACAATATGAGTAAAAAATATTATGAAAGTGCAATTAAGGGAATGAGTTAATTATAAAATAAAATTTGTATAGTATATATGTGTGTAAATAAAATGGTAAATAAGAAAAAAATGCCAAATAAAATATGCAAATATATAAGTACAAGCCTTTAATAATTTTGTATGAACAATAGTAAAAGAAACATGTAAATAACAAACTATGCTGCAAGTCTAACTCCTAACGGTTCTGCTGCTTGCATGGGAAATAATTTACTGTTTTTGTAATTATTTTCATAAGAAAGTCCGTAAAAATTACTCTTTTTCTTTGGTATGGCTGGAATTTCTCCTTGTAGCATCATTTGACGGTGCGCTATAAAGCTTCCTGGAGTTGGAGCTGAATATTGTTCTTCGACTTCTTCAGTATGATATCCTTCTTGGTCATGATTATAATCACCTTCTTCATTATATTCTTGATCATTATAATCTTGATCATTGTATTCTTCTTGATCATTGTATTCTTGATCGTCGTATTCTTGATCATTATATTCTTGGTCATTATAATAATTATCCTCTTCCCCTTCCCAATATTCTTGATATTCATTATATTGTCCATAATAACCTGGATCCGTATTATATCCATTTTCTCCTGTTGGATCATTTTCATAATCGTAATCATCCTCGTATTCATCATATTGATCATAATATTGACCCTCAACATATTGTTCTTCGCTCTCGTATTGCAACATTGACATCGTTTTAGCGCCATCATCAAATCCGGTTTGCATGATTGACTCTCGAACTTGTGCTGCTTGATACGCAAAAGCTTTTGGATTTGTTGGTTTATTTTTGAATTTATAATTCGTTGGAACTAAGTTATCATCAGGTCTTGAACGATCGAACATTGCCCAAACGGCCGGAAGAGCTGGCATTACACTTGAAGCGCAGGAAAATTTAGACATTCTTGAGGTCATTTTGCTAACGGGTCTTGATTTTGAACAACCTCTGACCCATGGGATACTGAATGTACTGAAGGTACTAAAAGCACTCATCTTTCTCCTTCGTGTATACGTTTTTGTTGTTTCCCATTCGGAGAATACTTGAGATTTTTCTTCGATCATAACCCATTCGCATTCATTTATCAACCCTTTTCTCGGTTCAATGAATACCCATTCGCCCCATTTATCTCCCTGTTCTGCGGCTGTAGTTTCCATCCAAACATAAGGGAAAATTTCATCGATGGTTTCAATGGCTAAATGAGTTGTGACGGGTAAATCAAGGGCGCGATCAATGATATCCCAATCCTCCCAATCTTCTTCCGCATTGTCAAACTCAATTTCCCTAGGAGTTGATTCAAAAGATCTGGCCCTTCGAGGTTTCAAAGAACGGAGTTTAACCATTTTCTTTCGACTTTTACTATTCTTTCTTGAATTACTTTCAGCGGAAGGAATGATAACTTTTCCTATCGATTTTTCCTTCTCTAGATTCTCTTTTTCGCTTTGGGTAATTGAATTGATTGTTAAAGTAGTTGACATATTATCATCGGAATTTCGGAAACCTTTCTTTGAGAAATCATCCCATACAACAGTTTGACGCAATGTTACACCAGAGACACCAGAATCATTTCTTGATAAAGAGATTTCTTGATTAGAACTTTGCTCTTTCATTGTCTCACTTGACCCGCGTTCAGAAACATTATCTTTAGGTAAAGGTTCTACATAAACACTCTTGAAACCTTTTCTTGAGAATTGACTCCATTGTTTTTCACTTATGTTGCTATTTGTGTCTCCCGCGGATCTGTCGTCAAGTGAAAAGAATAACTTCAAGAATTCATCAGACATTGCGGTAATTCCATTTTTTTGAAATTCGCTCCACATTTCTTCAGCCGTTTGTTTTTCTTTCACGGTCATCATGGTACTTGGACGAACTATTGTTTTACGTTTCATACCGTCCATAATGTCAGGTAATAAGGTTGTAAAATTTCTCGTTTGTCTCTTGGTTTCAGATATTGTCGTTGGAACTTGTCGGGTCACTCTTAAAATACTTATTGGCCTTGCATTTGAAGAGGTTATCGTCGTTTTGACTTTTTCAGTTATTTCGGTTGTCTCGGCAAATGTCACGATCGAACGTTTACGAGGCCTATTAACTTGTTTAGGTGTACCATCCAATTCAGCTATTGTAGTATTTTCGGGTAAAGGCATTTGAAAGTAGGCAGATGTAACGGATTTCTTTCTATACTCCACATAATTATCCAGTAATACAGTTAATCGAGGATTCAATTCAGTTGAAACAGATTGCTCTCGTAAATAAGCTAAGAATAAATGATGACACGCCGCGGAACATTTCGCCCATTCATCATAGGCAGAACCAAAACTTAGTAAATTTTTATCTTGATCACCAAGGATGCAAAGTGCTATTGTCTTTACAAGCCTTTCAGCAGACATTTTATTTATATGAGATTCCGCCGTTACTTGGGCGCAAATATCAAATAAATCACATAATATGACTTGATGTTGTTTTGGTAAATAATTTAAAAATTTATTAAAAGAACCTTTGCTTGGATCATAATCCCATTCTATTTCGTTATGTAAAAAAAAAAAAAAAAAAGTTAATAACGGGAAAAGAGGCGCAGTATTTTTTTTTTCGTAGTCGAAATGTCAAATCTACCTTGTTCGTATCTGACAAATTCATCATAATATTCGTAAGGAACTAGTATCGTATTGCAATGCCTAAGGGCCCATTTCATTGCCGAAACTACGACGTGAATATTTTGAGATCCGATTTTATCTTCAAATTCCGTTCGACTGTCGCATAACAGGCAGCTTATGAGATCTCGGACCTCATCCACGCTGTCACCAATGCGAATTGGCTTGAAGATGTCGACTTCATGTAAACCTCGACTTCGTATTTCATCAGAACATCTCTTTACAATTAAATGAGCCTCCTCCAAAGTAACCATCTTTGCGACATCACGAGTTACTTCCCTTGAGGACAAATTTTTTTTTAAACTGCTCTTTTTCTTTCTAACTTCGCCGCTGAACTTCTTTTTTAACAGCGAATGTTTCGCGCTACGCAACATTTGTGTCGTTGGATGTGTGTAATAAATCTAAAAAAGGCTATAGATTGGTCGTATATGTAAAAGAATTCTTAAATATTTATGAAGAATTGACCAAAAATTGATTATTTATTTATTTAAGGATAGCGAAAAAAAAATATATATATATCACTGCGAAGAGGGATTAATTTTGGATTATTATTATTATTTTTTTTTTTAGACGAATCTTCTTGCATTTTATATGTTGTTTCAGGGTTGAAATATAATTAATTTAAATAAAAATAAATAAAGTAAAGAATTTGTGTTACATTTATTCTTTGTCGAAAAAAAAAATTTTTATTATTTATTCTAAACGTCTTAAAAAAAGGTAAAATGTTTTAATACATACATGTGTGTCACCAAATAGTTTTTTTAAATTCTATATCTAATTTGTCCCCAAACATATTGTAGTACCGTTTTAGGTTTTGCATTAGACTTCTCCATATTAGATCACTAATTAACAATAACATCAATAACATCTATATATGGGCCGATCCTTTTAAAAAAAAAATAACGAATTATATTTGTCTTTTAACGCTTGATATGTAGTATAAACTTCGGTGGGAACTGAAACATGTTTATTGGTTTCTGCTTTTTGACTTGGAAATCCTTAGAAAAAAAATAATCACTAGTATCATTGTATAGATAAGATCTTATAATAAGAACTAGGTAATTAACTTCAATTATTTATTTATTTATTTATTATTTTTTTTTTTTTTTCTTTTCTTGCATTTCTCGCATTTCTCACTTCCTTTTATATATATGTTATTTTTTTTTTTTGATACATTTAAATGAGATATAAATAATCAAAAAAAATCGTGAGTTCGTAAAAAAAAAAAAAAAAAAAAAAAAAAAAATTTCTCTTTTTTTTTATGGATTATGTTACCCTTCACCAAAGCAAAATTATGTAATTGATCATTTTAGACGTGAGTTTGTTTATGTATTGACCCAAAAAGAAAAGCGAATTGAAAACTTATGACACTGTGTGTGTAATGATAAAAAAATCCCGACTCATGACATTGGATTGTGTAATGATCCGATTCATTGTACAATTGGGTTGAGATGATACATGTCTTCGTTCCTTAATTTCATTCACCTGAAATTCAATTTTTTTTTTTTTATCGTGGAAGAGGAGCGTACAAGTTACAAAATCTAATTAACGCAAATAATACGTGATTGACAAAAATTCGCAAGTCGCACCCTTTTGCTCAGCAAGTAATAGTGTAACAAGAGAAAAAAAATTACGTATCGCGGAATTATCGGAGCCTCCAAAAAAAAAAAAAGATAATTTTTTTCTACACTTAGACAATAGGTTACATAAATTAATGGATAAATAAACAAAAATACAATAATAATAATAACAAGACATTCGAAACAAAGAAAAAAAAAAAAAAAAGAGAAACAGAACATATATATTTATAGAATTCGAAATTTTATTTATAGGAAAAAGTTCATTC